AATGTTTAATTTCTGTAATTATTTCATTCTTAGCCAGTACTAAATGATTTGCTGACTGGCGCTGGCCTTGAACCTCACTCTGACTAGTGCTGCCCTAGACCTGCCCCCTTTCTGCCCTACTCCTTTTGTTTTCCCATAGAACACCTTATTCTTGAATTTAGGACCTTGGGGAAGCCCAGTGCTACTTGGAAGGGCTCTCTCTTGAATCACATTTGAACACTGGCTCAAGTTAAACTGTAGAGAAGTCCACTTTAAAATTTAATCAGCATTATAAAATTGTAATTGATGAATCAGCAAATCAGTCTTTGAATTACTTATCCAGGCAACATAACTAGAGCTATATGAATTTGAGAGACTTGGCAAAACTTCTCAAATCAGTACCTTGAAATCAGTTTGTTACCAAGATATGATAAAATGTCTTCAAGAGAATTGCCAATAATTCTCAGATAATGTATTGCCTACAAATAATCATTTTTAAAAACCAAGAAAACAAAAAACTAAGCATCCTAGATTGTATATTCTAGGAATCAGATTGTGCATTTAGTGTTACAAGAGGGAATTATCAAGTCATTGCTCCAGATCAAACTTCCAAAGTAGATGTGCTTCCCTGAGGACTGGAGAATCCTTCTTTTTTTTCAAAAGTGATAAATTTATAATAACCATAACCATAACTGAAAGATGAATCTTTCTTTAGTTCTTTCCATGAACAGAATTAAACTTCTTTATGACTATATTAGTATCATTAAAATTTGATTTGACTTTGAAGCTGAACTGCTTAAATCATTGTGTTGGAGATTTAAAATTACACTTGCTAATGGATTTTGTGATTTCTTTTTATTTGTTTAGTAATTAACAAATATAGTATTTTTATTAAGATTTTTAAAATTTGTGCTTAATTTTTTCTTTAATCTAAATGATATTTAATCTGTTTACTTTTCAGGAATTGCCCAACTCTGTCTTTCTGGTGATGGAGGTAGGTAGTTTACAAGCTTCTGTTTAATTTATTCCAAATTCCTTTTGATTACTATGTACTTTAAAATGGAGAGTAGATAATTATTTGAAATTTCTAATAAAATTAATTCAGTGATTTAGATTCTACTTCATAAGAAATATAAAATTAAAAGTTTTGATTCTATAACTCTTATGTTTTTCAGATTAGATTTATTTTATACACAAATGAATTTTTAATTAAAATTAAATGATAATGGATTGAATTTATCTTGAATCGATGTTCTTATTTTAATTAATATTTTTTTTTATATATCAGTATTGCAATGGAGGAGACCTGGCAGATTATTTGCAAGGTAATTTTTTGTGTGTCAGTGTTAATAAAGTTAGTACTGTAATCTGTTTAATTCTGAGAGTTATTTCTGAAATATACTACCCTTGTTTTCTGTACTTAAATGGAAACATTCAATAAATATTTGTGTACTTGTTTAATTGTGGTCACTTTGCCAACTGTTTTTTGTTGTGGTTTTGTTCCTAAAGTTTACTTGTGTTTAAGTATTTACTTTATGTGTGCCTCTCTCTGACAGTGTTTGAGAGATGGGTCCTCTTCCCAAGAGAGAAAAAATAAAATATAATTTCTCTTCTTCAAAAGACTCTCTTGGGTTGCCATCAGTAGACCTTTAGCCCCTATCATTTCTTAAAAAAAAAAAAAAAGTAATGGGAGAGCATTTTAGATCTTATTTCCCAGCATATGCCATCAGTTTGGCTGAAATAAACTCTTTTAAAAATTTTTTAAAAATTATGATGGAAGAATGTATCCAGTAATGTTGATTAGTGTGAATGTTTCTTGTAAATTAAAACAGTTATAAGAGATTCAAGGTAACATCGAGATTTTTTCTTGGTACAGAGATAAGATTTTAGTTTTACATGATACTTGAAATACTGTATCCAAAATATGTACATGTAGGATAATAATAAGCATTCAGGTCAAATTGTGTTTGTTCCTAAAATGTATTTTTTAATGATGTTAGATGAAGTCAGCATCTACTTGTTAACTCCTTAAAGATGCAAGGAATATATGCAAAAAAGATAATAAAAGACTCATAACTCAGCCTATAAATGGATCATGGCAATGATGGTAAAAATATCAATATCAATAGATACACTCACAAAAGGTATGGACAGTTAATAAAAGAGAAGCAACCTATTAAAAATGTTTTACTTCACCTAGTAATCAGGGAGTATAATTAAAAATGAGAATTAAAAAAGTTTTATATTTGCCGACATTCAAAAGTTGTGTAGAGAATAATATAAAGAACTTTGGTATTACTCCTCCCACCATAAAAAAAAAAGAAATTATAAATACAACTCTCTGTGAGCTCTTCTGTAGTCCCACTCTTACCCTCTTAGAGACAACCATTATCCCGAATTCGGTAGTTCAATCCACATGGGTTTTTGTATTTTTCCCAACTAAAATTCTTTTTCCAAAAGAATAAGTCAATTTGGTAAAATATTTTATTCAAAATGTCACTAATCGATAAAAATGCAGTGAAATGGGCACTTTTCATTCACTACTGGTGGAAAGGAGTTGAAATTAGACGATTCCTTACTTCCACGTTCTCGGTCTGTGAATATTCAGTTCCTTGGCATTCTTAGTGATCCAGATAAAAGTACCTTTCCACTGGGATCAGAATGAGTGGCACTTATCAGTTTAGAGCCCTCATTACAATAGCAGTTCCTTCATTAGAAGTTCTAGGCGCTGTTACTGATGTAGCTGATTTACATTAGCTTTGACAGTGGTTGCGTCTATGATGTTAGACTCTGTATATAATATTCCAGAGCAGTAGTATTAGAATAGAAGACCAAAGAGTGAAGAGCTTACTCGAAGGTCGGAGTCAGACAGAACAGTTGATTTGAAACAGCTACACTGTTTACATAACTTAATTGCTGTGTGATTTTGGTCACGTTATTTAACCTCCCGAGTTCTAAGTACTTTTGCCATCATAAGTATCTTTGCTGGTAGTGTTTTCACCCACTAATTGGTTGTAAGGCGATTTGCCATGAAAAAGATAAAATCATGACAAATAAAAGACATTAAAAAGGATATAACGAAACATGAAAAAATACATAACAAAATTAACACTATCGCAAAATAGAAAATATCCACATATATCTAAAATGTGTGTAGATTCATGGCAATACTGTACAAATAACTGATTTTGTGGGTTGTAATAAACACTTATATTTATTCTGTGAGAAATGTGGGTTCAACTAATTTTGTGCCCTCATAGAGGGCCCTTGGCCTCCCTATCTCTACTCAATGTAGCACACTTTCAAACTAAGAAACCAACTTCTGGGGCAAATCATCATCATCTGAAAGAAATGGTCACTATTTTAAGACTACCACCACATCTACTTGTTACTATATAGACCATCATGAGGGTTAGCTAAGATTTATTTATATACGCTATAAAAATATGAGTAACTGCAAGAACTTCATCAATGGAGCAGTGAAACCAAACAATGACAACAACAACAAACAAACTGTCAACCAGTTATTTTATAGTTTTTACAGCAAAATTGCCTTGCAGGTGACCAGTAATGTGGCAAAAATGCTTGTGGCAAATGTATATCACAGAGATGCTGTGGCAAAAATACCTGACATGGTGTGCCACAGTTTTTATAATTGAAAACATTTGAAAAAAGACTTAAAATAAATTTGTCCTGATCTTGTCTGATCTCAGAAGCTAATCAGGGTTGGGCCTGGTTAGTACTTAGATGGGAGACCACCTAGGAAGACCAGGCGCTGTAGGTGTTAAAATAAATAAATAAAAATAAAAATAAGGGATTGTAAGCTGACAAGGTCCTTGCACTCTGTGAGGTCAACCAAGGGTTGCCTTGCCTAAAAAATCTAATGAAAAATAAATAAATAAATTTGATGCTCAAGGAACTAGATATCTAGAGTTGTACTATCCAGTATGGTGGCCACTGACCGCATAGGGCTATTGAGCTTTAGAAATGTGGCTAGTCTGAAGTGAGATATGCTATAATGTAAAAAACACATTGGATTTTGAACACTTCATAGGAAGAAAAGAATGATTATATTTCATTGGGTTTTCATATTGGTTATAAGTTGAAATGATAATATTTTAGATGTATTAGGTTAAAAATGTACTATTTCACCTATTTTTTTCACTTTTTAAAACATAGCTACTAGAAACTTTAAAGTTACGTATGTGGCTCACATTATATTTCTGCTCTAGAAGATCTGGAATGTCAAAAAAGTCTGGAAGGTCCAATGCCATTATTTCACAACACAGTTATTTTAGTCCTTTTATTTGTTTTGATAAACAAAGTGCCTTTTACATTTTCAAAAGATAGAAAACAAATTGCAAATTTAAAATAAAACAAATTCTAAATTACTAAGTTGTACTTTTACATTAATTCTAGCAGGATACATTAAGTGTGGCAGCTACAACTGAGCCTACTTTCTAAGGGCTAACTTGTTTAAGAATTCATTCGTTTGAAAGAGTTTTCATGTTGGAAATGCCTTTAAAATACAGTTGACCCTTGAACAACATGTGTTTGAACTTGCATGGGTCCACTTATATATGGATTTTCTTCAATAAAAAGTCAGCCTTCTGTGTCTCAGTTTCATGTATGCAGATTCAACCAACCATAGACTGAAACTATTTTCAGACCAAGGTTGGGAATCCGCATATGCAGAGGGCTGACTGTATGTGTTGATCTACACCATTTTACATAAGAGACTTGAGCAACCTCAAATTTTGATATCCATGGGGGATCCTGGGAACGATACCCCAACTAATACTGAAGGATGACTGTATTAAGTGTTTTTTTTTATTTTTATGGTGACATTGGTTAATGAGATCCAGTAAGTTTCAGGTGTACAATTTAGAAATAAGGCATCTATCTATCTATCTATCTATCTATCTATCTATCTATCTATCTATCCATCTATTTATCTATCTATCTATCATCTATCTATCTATTGTATTGTGTGTTTACCACCTGTAGTTAGATTTCTTTCTGTCACCACATATTTGACCCCTTTACTCCATCTACCTCCCCGCTCCTCACTCTCTCCTACCCTCTGGTAACTACTAATCTATTGTCCATGTCCATGAGTCTCTGTCCTGTTCATTTGCTGCTTTTAGGTTTATATCCTACATATAAATGATACCATGTGGTTTTCATCTTTTTCTGTCTGGCTTATTTCACTTAGCATGATTATCTTGAGGTCTATCCACGATGTCACAAATGGCAGTATTTCATCTCTTCTTATGGCTGAGTAATACTCTGTTGTATATGTGGACCACAGCTTCTTTATCCAGTCATCTTTGGTTGTTTCCATGTCCTGACCACTGTGATTAATGCTGCTCTGAACATCGGTGAGCAAATATCTTTTCGGATATGGGTTTTCAAGTCTTTGGAGTAAATACCCAGTAGAGGGATTGCTGGATCATATGGTAGATCAATTCTTAGTTTTTTGAGAAACCTCCATACTGTTTTTCATAGTGGCTGTACCAATTTGCAGTCCCACCAGCAGTGTATGAGGGTTCCTTTTTCTCTGCATCTTCTCCAACACTTGTTATTAACTTGTCTTGTTGATAACAAGTTGATATCTCATTGTGGTTTTGATTTGCATTTCCCTAATAGCTAGTGATGATAAGCATCTTTTCATAGGCTTGTTAGCCATTTGTATGTCTTCTTGGGAGAAGTGTCTGTTCAGGTCCTCTGCCCATTTTTTAATTGGAGTGCTTGGTTTTTGTTGTTATTGAGTTGTAGGAGTTCTTTGTACATTTTGGATATTATGCCCTTATCTGAGGCATTACTTGCAAATATCTTCTCCCATTTGGATGGTTGTCTCTTTACCTTGTTGACGGTTACTTTTGCTGTGCAGAAGCTTTTTAGTTTGATGTAGTCCTATTCATTTATTTTTGCTTTTACTTCCCTTGCCTTTGAGGTCAAATTCGTAAAATCCTCTTTAAGTCCAAGGTCCTTGAGTTTAGTTCCTATGTTTTCTTCTATGCATTTTATTAGCATTACTTGCAAATATCTTCTCCCATTTGGATGGTTGTCTCTTTACCTTGTTGACGGTTACTTTTGCTGTGCAGAAGCTTTTTAGTTTGATGTAGTCCTATTCATTTATTTTTGCTTTTACTTCCCTTGCCTTTGAGGTCAAATTCGTAAAATCCTCTTTAAGTCCAAGGTCCTTGAGTTTAGTTCCTATGTTTTCTTCTCTGCATTTTATTGTTTCGGGTCTTATATTCAGGGCCTTAATTCGTTTTGAGTTAATTTTGATATATGGTGATAGACAGCAGTCTAGTTTCAT